GCCGTAAGTGCCGTACTCCCCTTAAGGCTTTCAAAGACTCTCTCAGAGATGCCACCTTCAGTGAGCATCAGAATGTGCCCCAGTTTCTTCAAAACCTTCAACACATTCTAGAGAGAGTCCACCGCTTTGCCCATGATAATCTATTGAAAGCCCAGGTGAGAATGAAGACTCATTACGACCAGACCAGCAAAGTAAGAAAATTCAAGCCGGGAGACTTCGTCCTTGCCTATTTCCCTATCCCAGGTTCACCTTTACAAAACAGATTTTCAGGACCCTACTGCGTCAAAGAGTGCAGAAGCAACAACAACTACGTCATAGAGACTCCAGATAGGCGGCGGAAGACCCAGCTGTGCCACGTCAACCTCCTGAAGCAATATAATGGTACTCCTCCCACTGTCTTGACTAATTGTTCTACCTTCACAGAACCCTACATCCACAGTGAGACCTTCCCAGCTTCTCCTCCCGAAAGCACTGACAAGGAGTCAGCGCTTTCTAATTCCGAAATCCTTAATGATCTTCCCAAATGCTTTCAGGATAATAATCGTGCTCCTTTGCCCTCTTCTAATTCCACTCTCACCTCGTCAGATAAACCCTTCATCCTCCATGTCGACGCTAGGGGTACCGACGTTGGTGGTGTCGTGATGCAACAACGAGGCGAGAAGAATACACCTGTCAGCGACTACTGCTACAAGGATCTACGGAACAATTGGCAAGGAGCTACTCTTCCTCATCCTGAAGCTTCAGCACTTCACTCCACCCCTGAAAAGTGCTCGGTCCACCATCAACACGGACCACACCACCCTACACCTCCTGCAGCACGCCCACTTCTCATCTCAACGTCTTCTACTATGGGCTTGCTAACTGCAGAAATTCAACCTGGAGACACGCTATACCAAGAGTCTGACAACATCTTAGCCCATGATCTCTCCAGAGTTTATGAAGTAGAAGCGACTCCATCCATTACTCCACCACATAACGACGTACTTCTTCCAGAACCGCAGGCTTCGGGGGAGAGTTGTGACGATAATCTCCTTCAAGAGATTGAGCCTGCTCTTCCCTCCACAATTACGTCGTTGGAATTATATAAAACTACTAGGGAAGAATGTCCAACAACGACAACAACACCAGCAAGGCTTGCCAGAGCGCAAAACGTTGCAGCCAGAGACACCTGTTCAGACTCAAACCGCCAAACTACTCGTTGATCGCTACCGGCCCCGCTGATTGGTCGCCGGTCTGGCTGCACCTGCACTCGCCCCCCCATACTACTTGATGTCTGGGGTCGCCACGACCTCAGACCTCAGAATGTTCAGTGCTTTCGAAGTTATCACTCCTCCCAGCTAGACGTTAGCGTGTACTGAGAGAGGTGATAGCTTAAAGCCAATATTCCAGCACCTCCCATTTAATTTTGTGTTGCACTTCTTGTTATTTTATCTTAACGTAACTTTTCATTGTGTCATTTAAGTATTCTTATTATTTTGATTGATTGATTTTATTATAAGAATTTGTTTGTCCATTTTTTCATGTTTTGATTTATTTAACGTAATTAAAATTTCATTGTTAAAATTTACTTGTGTTTTGTGTGTCTTCTCCTTACCTTACCACAGACGACGTTCCAGTTTTTCTATTTTTTTTTATAACTATGTGACGAGGCCATACCCCTAGCCTTAAACAGCCGAACACCAACGCGTTACCGTCACAATATATATATATATATATATATATATATATATATATATATATATATATATATATATATATATATATATATATATATATATATATATATATATATGTTGGTCTCTTTTAAGGCATTCTGCTTTGTGTCTGGAGAGTTTTTCATGAGTAGGTTGGTCTTTTTTTGGTTTTATAGTAAATGGTCAATTGTATCTTCTGATTTTTGTCTGTAGGGATAACGTTCCTATTAACAATATCTTTCAGGACCCTTTCCTCCGCTTTATGAGTTGTGGAAAAGAAGTTCCTGTAAAATAGTCTAATAGGGGGTACAGGTGTTGCGTTAGTTGACTCTTCAGAGGTTGCATGGCATTTCACCTTCCTTTTTATGATGTCTTCAATGAAACCATTGGAGAAGCCGTTGTTGACTAGGACCTGCCTTGCCCTACAGAGTTCTTCATCGACTTGCTTCCATCCTGAGCTGTGGCAGAGAGCACGGTCGACGTAAGCGTTGACAACACTTCTCTTGTACCTGTCTGAGCAGTCACTGTTAGCATTGAGGCACATTTCTATGTTTGTTTCCTTAGTGTAGATTTTGACAAATTCCTTTGGAGTTAGACAAATTTGACATTTCCATACGCATACCCAGGTTTGTATTCCCCAATAATCCTTGGCAGGTGGAGTCCAGATTTCTTGGCATTCACAGTTTTGATCAATCTGTTAACCGTAAACAGATTATTATTTATATAATAAGTAAATATTCCCCAATAACAGAATATTGGGGAATACAAACCTGGGTATGCGTATGGAAATGTCAAGACACACAAGCCTGGAAACCGACTTCAGCCAATCATCAGCCAGATACCCACACCCACATACAGACTGGCGAAGCGACTCAACGGCTTGCTGACTCCTTATGTACCTTGTGCTTTCAGCCTGAAGTCTCCAAAGGAATTTGTTGACTTACTGCGGGGAACACGGGCCACAGGGATAAGAGCCTCATTGGACGTAGAATCACTGTTTACCAAAGTATCTGTGGATGAAACAATTGGGATGATAGTGGACAGAGTGTATCGTGATCCTGCCTGTACTCCTCTTGACATAACAGAAAACATTCTAAGGAAACTACTCGAAGCTTGAACTAAAGAGGCACCCTTCTTGAGCCTGATGGGCACATGTATAAACAAGTAGATGGGGTCGCCATGGGTTCACCCCCAGGTTTCCTGTTTGCTGACTTCTACATGGGTACCATCGAACAGAACGTCTTAGTTGGCATGAACTTGATGCCTGCCATATACTGCAAATATGTTGACGACATTTTTACACAGGTACGTGATGTCAGACGTCTGCGGGAGCTGAAAGAGGCATTCAAGCAGAATTCTGTGTTGAGTTTCACTTACGAGATGGAGAAGGATGGGATGCTGCCCTTTCTAGATGTAACACTCACGGAATGGAGCGGAGGTTTCCACACTGCAGTCTACACTAATAAACAAACATAGGAATGTGCCTCAATGCCAATAGTGACTGCCCAGACAGGTACAAGAGAAGTGTTGTCAACGCTTACGTCGAGCGTGCTCTCAGCCACATCTCAGGATGGAAGCAAGTCGATGAAGAACTCTGTAGGGTAGGGAAGGTCCTAGTCAACAACGACTTTTCCAATGGTTTCGTCGAAGACATCATAAGAAGGAAAGTGAAACGCCATGCAACCTCTGAATAGTCAACTAACACAACACCTGTACCCCCTATTAGACTATTTTACAGGAACTTCTTTTCCACAGCTCATAAAACAGAGGAAAGGGTCCTGAAAGATATTGTTAATAGGGGACGTTATCCCTACAGACAAAAATCAGAAGATACAATTGACCATTTACTATAAAACCAAAAAAAGACCAACCTACTCATGGAAAAACTCTCCAGACACAAAGCAGAATGCCTTAAAGAGACCAACGTCGTCTATGCCTTCAAATGCCCACTTGGGGACTGTAAGCCCCAAAGAACTCAGTATATAGGCAAGACAACAACATCTCTTTCCAGGCGATGAACAATGCGTAAGCAACAGGGCTCCATTAAGAAACATATAATCTCTTCCCACAACCAGACCATTACTAGAGAAGTCTTAACAAACAACACAGAAATCATCGATAGATACAGCGATAGCAGGTGGCTTGACATCTGCAAGGCACTACACATCAAAAAGTCAACACCAGCAATCAACAGCCAATTATTGCACAACTATATTCTACCCACTTCAAGACTTCTTACCAATATAGAAGCATCAAGAGGAAGTATAGGCCAATAGGCCCTTTGCAGTTACTTCCATTCTTCCCTTTCACTTATCCAATTTATACCCCTTGAACCGTGTTCTGCCTTGTGTTGGTCAAAAGTTTGTTCATCTCATCCAAAACAGTTTCAACATATCACCTCATCCAAATGCGAGTATATAAGACAAGCTGTTTATATATTGTTACGCGTTAGAATTAGTAAAACTCTGTTAAGAGTTTTCAGGTTACAAGTTGTGTGTGTGTTAACTAAAGTCTTTGAAAATGTAATACGTTATTACAAAACGCGTTCAAGCATCGCGTCAGACTAGAAATAAAAATGAATTTTGGAGAATTGAGTTTTCAATTACCATCGACAGTAAAAAGAAACATAAGAAATATTGAGAAAATTCGTGTTAGAATTATTAATCTTACTTTTTTGGTCATATTTAACAACATTTCTTTATAAGAAAGACTGCTACCAAATTATACTAATATATATATATATATATATATATATATATATATATATATATATATATATATATATATATATATATATATGACACTGTCAGACCACGGAGGAAAATGAAACAGGAATTTCCTTAAGTACTTTCGTATATTAAATACATCTTCAGAAGGTATAAGATACCTTCTGAAGATGTATTTAATATACGAAAGTACTTAAGGAAATTCCTGTTTCATTTTCCTCCGTGGTCTGACATTGTCACATTCTTAATCACGTGTTTATTTTCGTGATATACACACACATATATATATATATATATATATATATATATATATATATATATATATATATATATATATATATATATATAGACAGTGTCAGACCACGTATTTGTATTAATATACGAAAGTACTTAAGGAAATTCCTGTTTAATTTTCTTCCGTGGTCTGACATTGTCACATTTTTAATCACGTGTATATTTTCGTGATACACACACACACTATATATATATATATATATATATATATATATATATATATATATATATATATATATATGTATATTAACAATTATAATAATTATAATTAAATATGATAACTTACATGTTCATGAACTTGGAGGTCATTTCGACCATCTGGGTGGGTGTTGGTGTGAGTTCCGTCGGTGGGGCGTTGGCATTGAGCACCACCAGAGGTGCTGACCACAGCCCCATCCAGGACAACAATTTCAGCAGTCTCGACATCATCCTCGCTCCTCTATTGCCTCTCTCAGGTCAATACACCTTACAGCCTCACGTCAGCAGACGGACTCAGGCTATATCAGGTCAGTACTGCCAGTCACTTCAGGGGAATGGTACCTTAGTGACACAGCAAGTCACTTCAAGACACCAGGGCAGGTCACTTCAAGACCTCATATGCGGGCATCCTGGTCGGGACAGAAAAATATAATTTTGTTAGCAATTTCGTTTATTTTGTGGCTGTGTGCAGTCCATCACAACCTCACTGATCATGTCACAGAGTCTACAGTGAATATGGTGTTGAGGCAATGAGAGATCATGACCCAATTAAGTACTAAGAGGTGTGGAGACCTAACTCACTTATAGTAAAGTCATGGAGGTTCCTGAATGACTGTGGAACAGTGCTACAGTGAGGTACAGGGTACGGTGCATGTGGATGATTGTAAATTACAGCACTGTAGACAGCTGTGAAACTGTTAATTAGTGACTGGTGCTTGACTGATATCAGGCAATACTGTGGGCAATAGTACTGCCAGTGATTAATATAATGACAGTGCATAATGATGTACGGTGAATTGAACAGCTCCATGAATGGTTTTACTGACGTTAACAGTGACTGCAGGAATTAATAGTGTAAGTAAATAATAACATCAGAGACATAATAAAAATACAATAAGGAGACATTCTTCAACCAAGAGATCATTTTATGGGAAGTTGTAAAATCCTTCGCCCTTGGAACTGCCAGCTAGGCGAAGAGTTATCTTGAGATGATTTGATGATTCAAATCATCAAAGTTAATGAAGGTCAATGAGAACCTGTTTTCTAGGTCCAAAAGTGTGACATCAGTGCGCCAGAGAAGTCACAGGTTTCAAACCTGTTGGGTTCTTTGGTTAGTGTTGAGGTCGTCCCATGGTGCTGGTGGCATAGGATGGTATCTCTTGGTTACGTCACCTGCAGTAAAGGGGAGTTGGATGGAAACTATCAGGGTATAAAGCCAAGCCATTACGATTATATAGCACTTGGAAGGGGGGGTCAGGATGAGGATTTGGGATGGGACGGGGGGAAGGAATGGTGCCCAACCACTTGTGGACGGTCGGGGATTTAACACAGACCTGCAAGAAACGAGACCGTCGTTCTACCGTCCAGCCCAAGTGGTTGGGCAGGGGACTTGGAGTGGCAACAGTTGGCACGCTTGCACCGGATAAGACAAAATGGCTGCCAGAGAGGCGAGGGGAAAGGTTCGATGTTTTCCTACACTTGTCAGAGGTATTTTAGGTAATTAGCAAAATCCAAAGGCCAGATTCAAAAAGTAGTTACGCAAGCACTTACGAAACGATAAGTGCTTACGAATTGTCATCGTCTCTGTGATTCCAACTATAACAAGATAAACAGAGGATGTATTTATTTGTATCTTTTCCTTTGCTGCCAACTTATATCATAAAGTGCACAAAAGAACACAAATATTTACTAGACAAATAAAATAAAATGCTGTAAAGAATCACTTCTCTGAGTCGTATGCAAGTAAATAAAGAAAATAAAGACACAATACAATAGTGTAAAAAATGATAATGTACACCTCAACAAGAAAAGTTTCCAACATATTTATGTAAGTTTCACGAGAACAGACAACCTGCTGGAACTGATAGGCGAGAATACAGACACTCAGAAGCTGAGGAAAGGTAAAATCAGAAGATGAAGAAAGATACCTTTTGGTGTTAGAGAGCAGGATCTTGCTCCAGTTCGATCCTTCAAAGTACCTGAGACAGGTCTCTGGACGTTGATGATGACGGGTTTAGCAGCGGGCTATAAATTACTGGGGCCAGATTCATGAAGGAGTTACGCAAGCTCTTACGAACCTGGGGCCAGATTCACGAAGCACTTACGCAAGTACTTACGAACGTGTACATCTTTCTTCAATCTTTGACGGCTTTGGTTACATTTATTAAACAGTTTACAAGCATGAAAACTTGCCAATCAACTGTTGTTATTGTTATAAACAGCCTCCTGGTGCTTTGGAGCTCATTAACTGTTTAATCAGTTTAATTTTTCAGTCTCCGTGGTGTAGTGGCAAGACTCTCGCCTGGCGTTCCGCGAGCGCTATGTCATGGGTTCGTATCCTGGCCGGGGAGGATTTACTGGGCGCAATTCCTTAACTGTAGCCTCTGTTTAATGCAACAGTAAAATGTGTACTTGGTTGTAACAACGATTCTTCGCGGCGGGGATCGTATTCCAGGGACTTGCCCGAAACGCTACGCGTACTAGTGGCTGTACAAGAATGTAACAACTCTTGTATATATCTAAAAAAAAATCATTGTTAACAAAGCTGCCAAAGTTTGAGAAAAGATGGACAGGTTCGTAAGTGCTTGCGTAACTGCTTCGTGAATCTGGCCCCTGGACAACAAGATCCTTAAAGACCACACCCTGCAATGTTCCATTGTAGGCGGAGAATTGTTGGTCCACCTAAAAGATGATTGTAAATGGACCTACAATGTGGCTGGTGGTGGACCGACCACCGCGTTCCATAAATTGTGATGAACATTCCACATTAGGAATGTTGAAGCCATTATAAAGCACACCAATGATTGCTTTATTAAAGAGATACAGGAAATAAATATTTTGTATGATCAGAGAAACTTAAACATCTTGGTCTTTGTTTATCCCTTATGCACGAGAGGCTGGTTCGAACCCCTCTTTAACAAGGAAGCTATCTTGAGGTTATCTTGAGATTATTTCGGGGCTTTTTAGTGTCCCCGCGGCCCGGTCCTCGACCAGTCCTCCACCCCCAGGAAGCAGCCCGTGACAGCTGACTAACACCCAGGTACCTATTTTACTGCTAGGTAACAGGGGCATAGGGTGAAAGAAACTCTGCCCACTGTTTCTCGCCGGCGCCTGGGATCGAACCCAGGACCACAGGATCACAAGTCCCGAGTGCTGTCCGCTCGGCTCCCTCAGTAAGGCAAGCTACTTGAACTCTCTCACCGTCCCATCCCAAATCCTTATCCTGATCCCCTTCCAAGTGCTGTATAACCGTAATGGCTTGGTGCTTTCCTCTGATAATTCCTTTCCTTCCTTCCACTCACTTAACCCTTACCTTCACTCACTTAACCCCTAACTTCACACACTTAACCCCTAACTTCACTCACTTAACCCTTACCTTCACTCACTTAACCCCTAACTCCACTCACTTAACCCTTACCTTCACTCACTTAACCCCTAACTCCACTCACTTAACCCTTACCTTCACTCTCTTAACCCCTAACTCCACTCACTTAACCCTTACCTTCACTCACTTAACCCCTAACTCCACTCACTTAACCCCTAACTTCACTCACTTAACCCCTAACTTCACACACTTAACCCCTAACTTCACACACTTAACCCCTAACTTCACTCACTTAACCCCTAACTTCACTCACTTAACCCCCTAACTTCACACACTTAACCCCTAACTTCACTCACTTAACCCCTAACTTCACTCACTTAACCCCCTAACTTCACTCACTTAACCCCCTAACTTCACGCACTTAACCCCCTAACTTCACACACTTAACCCCCTAACTTCACACACTTAACCCCCTAACTTCACTCACTTAACCCCTAACTTCACTCACTTAACCCCCTAACTTCACACACTTAACCCCTAACTTCACTCACTTAACCCCTAACTTCAGTCACTTAACCCCCTAACTTCACACACTTAACCCCCTAACTTCACACACTTAACCCCCTAACTTCACTCACTTAACCCCTAACTTCACTCACTTAACCCCCTAACTTCACTCACTTAACCCCTAACTTCACTCACTTAACCCCCTAACTTCACACACTTAACCCCCTAACTTCACACACTTGACCCCCTAACTTCACTCACTTAACCCCTAACTTCACTCACTTAACCCCCTAACTTCACACACTTAACCCCTAACTTCACTCACTTAACCCCTAACTTCACACACTTAACCCCCTAACTTCACGCACTTAACCCCCTAACTTCACACACTTAACCCCCTAACTTCACACACTTAACCCCCTAACTTCACACACTTAACCCCCTAACTTCACACACTTAACCCCCTAACTTCACACACTTAACCCCCTAACTTCACTCACTTAACCCCCTAACTTCACACACTTAACCCCCTAACTTCACACACTTAACCCCTAACTTCACACACTTAACCCCCTAACTTCACACACTTAACCCCTAACTTCACACACATAACCCCTAACTTCACACACTTAACCCCTAACTTCACACACTTAACCCCCTAACTTCACACACTTAACCCCTAACTTCACACACTTAACCCCCTAACTTCACACACTTAACCCCTAACTTCACACACGTAACCCCCTAACTTCACACACGTAACCCCTAACTTCACACACTTAACCCCCTAACTTCACTCACTTAACCCCCTAACTTCACACACTTAACCCCCTAACTTAACACACTTAACCCCCTAACTTCACACACTTAACCCCCTAACTTCACACACGTAACCCCTAACTTCACACACTTAACCCCCTAACTTCACTCACTTAACCCCCTAACTTCACACACTTAACCCCCTAACTTAACACACTTAACCCCCTAACTTCACACACTTAACCCCCTAACTTCACACACTTAACCTCCTAACTTCACACACTTAACCCCCTAACTTCACACACTTAACCCCCTAACTTCACACACTTAACCCCCTAACTTCACTCACTTAACCCCTAACTTCACACACTTAACCCCCTAACTTCACACACTTAACCCCCTAACTTCACTCACTTAACCCCCTAACTTCACACACTTAACCCCCTAACTTCACACACTTAACCCCCTAACTTCACACACTTAACCCCTAACTTCACACACTTAACCCCCTAACTTCACACACTTAACCCCCTAACTTCACACACTTAACCCCCTAACTTCACTCACTTAACCCCCTAACTTCACACACTTAACCCCCTAACTTCACACACTTAACCCCCTAACTTCACACACTTAACCCCCTAACTTCACACACTTAACCCCCTAACTTCACGCACTTAACCCCCTAACTTCACACACTTAACCCCTAACTTCACTCACTTAACCCTTACCTTCACTCACTTAACCCCTAACTCCACTCACTTAACCCTTACCTTCACTCACTTAACCCCTAACTTCACACACTTAACCCCCTAACTTCACACACTTAACCCCTAACTCCACTCACTTAACCCTTACCTTCACTCACTTAACCCCTAACTTCACACACTTAACCCTTACCTTCACTCACTTAACCCCTAACTTCACACACTTAACCCCCTTAACTTCACTCACTTAACCCTTACCTTCACACACTTAACCCCTAACTTCACACACTTAACCCCTAACTTCACTCACTTAACCACTTACTTCACTCACTTAATCCCTTACTCCACCTCCCTTTCCAACCCGTTGTCGTCGTGAGGGAACTTGGTGGGCGGCTGCCGGGGTGTGATGCTCCATTGGACGGTCCTCTGTCCTTTTGTGGCCTTGTGCTCCTGCTGCCGTCATCGCTAATTGTGCTGGTGGTTACTTCCGCTTACTTATGCTTCATTTTCCCCTTCCCTCTTCTCCTTTCTCATTGTCTTTCCCACTGACCTTTTGCCATTCTTGATTATTCTTTCACACATCTTCTGTTTTGACACCCGGGTGTTTGGGGAGGCACACTCTTTCACCCATAGAACTGTGGTACCCGACGTTGTGAGCGAGGGGGCGTGTTACGACCCTGGGTTCCTTAGTCGGAAACCAGAGGTCAAATTGAGCTCTAAATAATTATTTTACATTAATTGATAGTAGTGCTGATGCGCTTTTGTTCCTATCTTCCTTGACAGATGTAAGACGAATCTTGGTTCTCACAGAGCATTCAGACTCTGAGCTTGTTGTTGATTAATTATAACTTGGATCTAATTATCAGCTATTCTTAGAATGTTTAAAGTAACTAGTAAGGAAGGTCTGAGTAAACTTGGGTTGATGTCAGCTGTACAATCAGCTGAATATCCATCCGGCAGCAACTGAGTGGGAGGCAGGAGGACGCTGGGTCGTTCTTCTGTGTTCGGGCTGTGGTTGTGGCAACATCTTCCCTGTGTGGCTCTGTCTCCATTCTCCTCCTTCTCTCTTTCCCTTACCTTAAGCTACCGTAACTGCTAAGTTAAGTATAATCCTATGTAACCGTGCTACTAGCTAGGCTTGTGTGATATGTATAGATATTGTGTAGTATAAGCCAGTGTTTTGGGTATCCCTAAGTGTTTGTGTAGTGATAAGGTACCACGTGGGGCTCACTACCCCGAGCTGCTTCAAGATTTTGAGTTCTTTACAAGTAGACTTTACCCTAGCTTGTCCTAATTGTAAAACCTTGTATCCTGCCTATGTGGACCAAGGCTTTTAACCTTAGATAGTGTGGTAAAGTAGTTATTGTTATGATAGTACTGTATATGGGGGGGGGGTTGTTAGAGGAGTTAATAAATAAGTAATATTAAAGGAGTATCCATTCTTACTGTGCAGGGGACCAGTGATCAAATCCTAGACTGATGTATTTACCTTAAGCCACTGTTTAATATTGTTTTATGTTCTTATTGGGGCCGAGCCTATCTGATCTCCACTAATTTTGATACATCCTGATTCTAGCTATTGGCCCCGCTCCTCTTTAATACTCTATACCCCCGTAACAAGTAAGCAAATTCATAACAGGGCACTTTTATTGTTAATCCTCGCCTTCGTTGCTGAACCTGATCTCGATGGACTGAGGTTCTTAAGGTGGCGATTGCAGGGCGTATTCTTAGGATGCATGTCGGGTGTCCTATCCTCTAACTGTGGCTCCATCGTGGGAAGGGGACTTATTTGGGATGAAATTATTAACTGCTCGTTATTATGCCAATGATTGACCCTCTTTTCACTTCGTAGACTCGTGGGGTGGGAGACCAAGCCCCCCGTGTTAGGCCGTGTTGGAAGACCGTGCTCTGTAGCCGCCCCCTCCCCCCCCCCCCCCCCCTCCCTACATTGGGCCCTGACCATGTTCCTTCTTGGACTCTGCTGACTGCCTCTCTCTCTGCTCCCCTCCCACCTCTGTGTCCGAGTTGAGCCCCAAGCCCCAAGTGGTGACGACCTCATCATTTGACATGGCTCCATCTCTGGTTGTCACAGCTGTGCCTTTTACCCCCTCTCTGTTTTTTTTAATGGATATTCCTATGTGATGCCCGAAGCCTCTGGCTGGCCCACTAAGTGTTGCTTATTTCTGTTATACATGGGCGGAGTATGAGTATTTATGACTTGTATGGTTGCATCAGTAAGATTTTGTCCCACGTGTTTAACAACTTCTGCTCTGTTCAATCTAAGTTGAAATCTTAATGGGTTTGTTACTCTGCACTGACCCATTAAGATTTCAACTTAGATACAACAGAGCAAAGTAGCTTTACCTCTGCCCCATCATTCTAATTTCACTGATTCTGTTATTGTTCTTCCTTGTCTACTG